TTCATTTTTGAACATTCGATCGAATCTCTCTCTCTCTCTCTCTCTTTGAGGTAAGATCTTCTCTTTTTCCTTTTTTTTTTTTCTTTTTGCTCTTTCTCTCTCACTCTCTAAGGTCAAATCTTTCTTCTCTTTTTCCTTTTTTTTTTTTTATAATATTCACTAAACTCTCCTTTTGTCATATATTTTACTTGATTTCGATTTAGTTTTGTTTGTGAATTTTTATTTGTAGTTTAAATCTGTCGATTTTGTAGATCAACTTGTTTTAGCTTTTGATTAATGATAGGTGTTATTTTTATAGTATTTTGAATATAATTTTTGTTAAGATTTTTAGTAGTTTTAATCACTTTAGTTAGTCTTTATTCAGTTTTAGTTATGTTTTTGTTCAAAACTTCCTTGAAACATAATTCACTTGTTTTTAGTAGTTTTAATCACTTTAGTTAGTCTTTATTCAGTTTTAGTTATGTTTTTGTTCAAAACTTCCTTGAAACATAATTCACTTGATCTTGAGAAAATTTTGTAGGATTCTGATACAGAAAAGAGCTAAATAAATCAAAACTCTCAGGCTCTAGCACACCTTGGCAGTGTAATTCAGCACGCCTATGCGGGATTAGGGAAAATCAGCATAGAGACTCAGAGCCTAGCATGCCCTAGCGTGCTATATGGCACACCCGTGCCTCAAGATGATATCGATTCAAGGGAATGCTCACCTGAGCACGGCCTGTGCTGCATCCATCATAGAGACTCAGAGCCTAGCACGCTTAGCCGTACCATCTAGCACGGCCGTGTCACAGATTCCTCACTAGACATGCCCCTAAGCACGGCCCGTGCTGAATCATCCTTAGAACTCAGACTTCAGCATGCCCAGCCAGTGCCCCACAGCAAGCCCGTGCCGAAAATCAAGTTTTGCTTTGGCTCGAAAACGTTAGCCCAGTCCCTACCACTTGCATGGGCCCACATGAAATACTTTCCTAACGTGCCAAACAAGTTCAAATCCTATTTAGACGCATGAGAGAGTCCTAATTGAGAAGAAATTAAAAGCCTAAACAGTCTCCTATCTCCAAGAGATTTCCTACTTAATAAAGACTCTATTTCCTAAACAAAGTCGGAGTTTTTCCTCAGGAAATCTATATAAGGAGAGAACTCATTCAGTGTAAAGGTATCTCTGGTTCTACCATCTTTTGTTCTATTGTTTTTTCTCTCTCTCTAAGACTTCAAGTGATTAAGATTTGTGTCAAGATTCAAGGAAGCTGTTCACGTTATTTATTGACTAGTTTTTATCTCTAAACTCTTCATCTTATTTTTACTTTTCATTATTCACATTGATTATGGAATTATTTCAAGTTTAATTGAGTTTTATTTAATTACTATGTCGAACTAAATTCTCATACTAGAGATTTGATGTAGCTTAATTTCTTTTCCAATTTAGGAACTCAAATCTCCATAACAGAGATTTGATGTATGCTTAATTCTGTTCCAATTTAAATATTAGATTGATTTCGTGATTCAAAGTAAAATTCGATTATTGAACTTAATGCTTCAAACAGAGTTTCTTCCCCTGGAAGCATTGCTTAAAAATGCCTTAATTGATTTCTTTCTATCTCTTTGTATTTGTTGAAGTTAATTGCTTAAAATAATTCCCCTTATTGCCATTAAAATAATAGTAAGTTAATATAATTGGTACTGAATCAATTCTCGTGAGAACATACTCTACAATTTTGGTACTTGATATACAATTCTCGTGAGAACGATACTCTACTCATTTTATATTACTTGTTGTGATTTCGTACACTTGCGAAAAAGCCTGTCAATTAAGTTATTTTTTCTTAGTTAATTTTTTTATCCCTCTCACTTTTTATTTTTTTAAAGTTCCTTTACTTTTCTTATCTACCCTGTTTGATCCCTCAGAAATCGAAGGAAAGGTGTAGAAAATTAATTTTTTTACCTCTTCTAAGTGCACAAGCTCAACTATCTGAGTGTTCTATGAAATTTATTGTTTTATGATAAAATAATATTTTGGCAAACGTTGAATGTTTATAGGAATAGATATAAAAGATGGTTTCTTCGTCGGGTTTTTTTTTTACGGAGTTGTTGTGTTGATGATGGATTTGTTTGTTGCAGACGAGATCTGAATTTTTGTGATTGGTCTATGTTATTTTGGAAGAGATTGGTGTGTGATGGAAGGCGCTCCAGTTGTTGTGGCGGTGGTAGGCGACAGGAGAGGAGAGGCTTACAGGCTTACACAAAATAATATCAAGACGATGCATTTTGTGTGTGTTAACTCAAGGTGGGTTAGCTAACTGCAGTGTATCCCATTTTTATTATTCTTTTAATTTCAATTTTGACCAATTTCAAATTTATGGTGCAATCGTGACATAAGTTTCAAATTGAGGTGCTTGGGATTAAGTACTCTTTGGAGTGCAACTGTTATAATCTATAAAATTTAAGGTATTCAAAATGGTTTAGCCATTGACAAGCGGCGAACATGGATGTTAGTATCCAATAAAATAATTATTTGAGAGACAATCAAACATCACTTGTGGTTGAACAATCCAAATCATTCTTTTTTTCCCTCCAAAACAATCGTTTTCCATCACCATTTCTCCCTCCAATTTGGATAGTTTACATTACTAAATGTACACTATAAGCTTTTGGTTATGGCAACCACAACTTAGTACCAATTAGCAAGACTCTTAAATTAATTAACTGATTATGAACATTAGTATATTTCTATTATCCATTGGTCCATGAGAATTTTTCTAAATTTTTTATTTAAAAATCTGCAATTGATAATAGCAATGGAAGTTTACTGTATGCCATGGAAATTTTTGTAATGGAAGCATTAGGTTAGGTAACACATTCTGTATTGTAGCTGATGTGGAAGAAGTGCCTTTCTTTTGTTGGTAAGTTGGGTAGGGAAAAAGGGATTCTTGTAATCTGGGTATAGGTACCCCTTAGTGCTCAACAACATCAATTACCCTTTTTTGCTTCTTTCTTTGCTTCTAATCTTGTCAAATTTTTGGCTGACATGCTCTCTTTGTTTAAGGCTTATTACACCCACTATGAACATCAAAGAAAGCCAAAATAAGCCATCTGAAAGGCTGTTTCTCACCTTCTTTATTTGTTTATTTATTTATTTTGTTAAAGATTAGCGGGGAAATTGGATATTTAAATCTGATTAGAGGCTGATTGACCACTAATCATTTTTCAAAATCTGGACTAATTATTTATTAATTGTTGATAGGAAATCAGTTTATTTATTTATTGATGCAATTAAGAATAGGCACAACGTTTCCTTTTTTTAATGTAGGCCGATGTTCCTTACATACCTTTGAGAGAGGAAGACAGGTGTTTTCTTTTTGCATTAAAATCATCATTTAATCTATTGTCTTGTCATAGGATTTAATATCTATACTCTCTCTTCTTTACCTAATTTACATAATTACATCACTTTCCAGTTTTATATAATAATTAATTAAGGTGAAAACTAAGTAAGATTCGTAATTAGATTTAATGATGGTTAAAATATTATTTTTCTTTGTCATTATCATTTTTTTTTAAATTAAGCATAAAAGTTTTTTACCTTTTTAGGAAAATGTGCTTTCCGAAAATTGAATTTGTATTTCATTTCTATTGAAATTAAAGTGGCTTGCCGCTTTAACTAATACCTCGTTGATTTTGTCATCATCGTTTTATCACTGAAACAAAAGTGAAATTATTAATCCTAATAATCATATGTACAATCAAAACTAATAATTCCATTAATGATGAAATACTGTTGGCATGTGACTGTAAATCATTTGTTTTCTTTTTAGGATGTGGATTGTACATATCTGAACTATTCCTCTCTGTACTGAATAGTTAGGACCTGACCCACATTTTGTAGGATATATGATAGCCATAAGAATCTGCAGTTTATATATTTTTGTATATATCAGGAGAAACAGTCATAAAGATTCTAAAGTTCTGCATACACTACACATCAAAAATCTAAAATTGATTGCCAAATGTTCTTTCAAATTTAAATTAAGAAGCTCTATGATTATACCCTCAATTTTTTATTTTATTATAAGCCTTGCTATTGATGTTTAAAACATATTTATGATTATACCCTCGATTTTTTATTTTATTATAAGCCTTGCTATTGATGTTTAAAACATATTTATGATTATACCCTCGATTTTTTATTATTTTTTATTTTATTATAAGCCTTGCTATTGATGTTTAAAACATATTTATGATTATACCCTCGATTTTTTATTTTATTATAAGCCTTGCTATTGATGTTTAAAACATATTTATGATTATACCCTCGATTTTTTATTTTATTATAAGCCTTGCTATTGATGTTTAAAACATATTTATGATTATACCCTCGATTTTTTATTTTATTATAAGCCTTGCTATTGATGTTTAAAACATATTTATGATTATACCCTCGATTTTTTATTTTATTATAAGCCTTGCTATTGATGTTTAAAACATATTTATGATTATACCCTCGATTTTTTATTTTATTATAAGCCTTGCTATTGATGTTTAAAACATATTTTGGTAGTTGTTAGCTACTTAATTGTTTGAGTAGTTTTTTATAAAACGATAAAAATTAAAGAATTTATCTTAACCATTAAAAGTTAGTTCAAATGTTATGTTAAACATTGTAAAGAGTGTTTAGTTTCAAAACTATTTAAAAAGTTATTGTCGAATACAGTTTTAAAAGACTGCATCCATCAAATTTGAATTTTATTGGATAAGTTAGTCTCTAATGAACTTATAACTCAAAATTCATCAAGTGAAACAAAAGTGGCCAGCTTAGAAAGATTTGACTGATTTGAACCTTTTAGATTTATGTTTAGGAAGTATCACATTCATTTTTTATTTAGGGGTCAGTTCGACATTATTATTTGTAACAATTTTGTAAGCTTAAATTTTTGCAAATTAATGATTATTTTAAGAGTGTAAAACTAATTTTGGAAAAATTTAAAAATTATATTGTAAAGATCTATTGTTCATGAAATTTTATTTTTTAATATTTAAGAAACTTCCACGAAATAGTCTGATCTAATTAACAGTTAAATACAGGCATTTATAATTCTAACTCATGCCATGAACAAAATGACACACACAATTGAATTAATAAAAAGAGAAAAGAAACAAATCTAAATATTAACTTTTTTTTTTTTTTGAAATTTTTTGTGAATTCATCCTCTGCAAATCTCAGGTCTTTCTTGCTCATCACAAACAGCAATTTTGGAAGCAGACAGTGAGTAAAACCCAACTTGAGTTGCAGATTTTCTTGGACAAAACAATTGCTGAGATTGCTTACAATGAGCTATTGCTCCTTGAATTGGATTCTCAATCTCTGAATTCACACTGCTACTTCTTTTCAGAAATGGCATCCCATAAAACCCATTATTTATATTGTTAGAGCTTGAAGAAGATGACGACGAGGAAGAAGAAGAAGACGAAGACGATGTCTTATTTGTTGAATGTCGTTTAATAGCCATAGAAAACGATCTCCTATGAAGACGACAGCTGCAATCTTCATTAATCTTTTGGTTATTCTCTTTCTGAATTTGTCCAAAAGGCGTTTTCTTTACTGGCTTTCCGCGTTTATTCATAGATTCTCTAGCCTTTAGGACAATTCCTTGGTCTGCAGAATCATCAGAACAAGCAGATTTACCAAACAATGACTTGAAATACGCACGAGAAGCCTTAAGTTTTGAACTAAGCTTGAGCTTTCTAGTCCAAGAGTACTTGTTCGAGTTTTCGCTAATGGTGTCATCGTTTATTACTTGATCTGAGTAAAAGTAGTAGTCTTCTTGAGGATTTAGCTCTCTACTAACCTGACAAGACTCTGAAGGAGAAATGTTGCAAGATTCAAAAGGAGTACAACTACCTGTCGGTGTAGCCATTAACGGAGTGCTGTAAAATTCTTGGAAAGTATTGCTATTATCTTTGGAGTTTTGAAGGAGTTTTTCCACCATTTGTAACCGAGGAGGAAGATGAAGAGGAAGGAGCTTTCCCTTGTAGAATAGCTCATCAGCTGGAGAAGTTGAAGGCTCTTTTTCAAGTGAAATGGAAGACATTTGGAATTCAAATTCTCTCGTTTGAGGAGGAGAGTGAGAGTTTTTGGAGATAGAAAGAAAGTTGGAGTATGAACTAACTTCCATGTCAATGTAATCATCATCTGCATAATCATATGATGACAATGGATTCATTGCCATTTCTTGAAGCTCACTTCTGTTCTGGTTATGGAAAGCTGATGAGTTTGGTGGTGAGGGAGGGAAATGATGAGAAGGGTAGCACTTAAATGTGGGTGTGGGGAGAGTGATTTATGTGGTTAGGTTGGAAAGTGATGAATTGCAATTAGAAATTAAATAATTTTGTGGCTTATTTCTCATTTGCTTTGCTTTTTTTATATTTTTTTCCCTACATCATTCATTATAATAAGTGTTAGGAAATCATGCACTTTCTTAAAACAAAATAAAATAATCTTTAAACAAAGTAGATTTAGAAAAAAAAAATAGCAGAAACTTTTTTATAGAAAATTTGGGATTAAGTCCTAAATATATTGTTTTATATTAAAAAGAGTGAGTATTGTAGGGCACTTTATAAATTAATTATTAAATAAATAAATTACCATTATAAATTACTTAATTAAATAAATTACCATTGCTCAAATTTTATTCTGGGTGCCCGAAATGAAATCTGATTTTATAAAGAAAGTTTAATGTTCTGTAAAGCAAATATTTTATTAAACCATTTTTATTTTCTCTTCTTTTTTTATACAATAACAAACTTTTCAAAATAATTAAAATAACAAACTTTTCAAAATAATTAAAAATGATCTACCTAACTTTGAGTTTGAGTCTTCTTAATTACAAATCACTAATTTATTTGGAGATAAAAGGGAGAGCTACTCCCTGTTGTATAGCTCCCGCCTATTATACTATAAAAATAAAAGACCTTTTAACTATTATTGTTATATAGTAAGACTTTGATACCTATAACTAACTATTTAACTATTTTACTACATGTTAATTAAAAGTTAGGAAGGATAACATTTTATAATCTACTCTTTTAAATTTTAAATATTAATATAAATATTACACTATTGAACAATAGAAATAATAGAGAATTTCTATTGTTAAAATACTAAATATTAATAATTATTGTTCAACAAGGCATAAGTCTATATTTCTTCCTGAAAATAATTTCTCTTTTTTAAGGAAAAATATTTTTTTGGTAAAATATAATAAGGAATTCATTATGTTTGATTGCAATATTGAAAATTAATTTAAAAATTCAAAAAAATATTTTCCTGTCTTAAAAATATATAAGTATTTTTTAAAAAAATTAATTTTTTAATCAAAATCAAAATAATACTATTTTATATTAACTACTTTTCTTGGACATCACAAACTATTAAAAATTAAGAAAATATCATTTAGAAAAATATTTTTCAAAAACAAACAAAAATCTAAAAGAAAATCATAATTATACAAATCAAAATTATTGGATAAGATAGTCTTATGGCCCTCGCTTCATTATCATGACTTGTTCCTACATGATGAGATCCATAATTCATAAGGATTCTAATAATTTTCGTTCACAAAAACTATTATAAAAACTTTTTAAAGTCAACTTTTATAAGAAAAATAAATACCAACAAATAAAAAATGCATTTTATATGAAAAAAAATGCAAATAGCCACCGAATAATTAGTTGCTTAACAACCAAATATTTATTTCAATGCAAAAAATTAAAAAAGGAAAAAGAAAATGCATTTGTCTAATTAATAAAAGTTCTTCGAGGAGGGTAATGCTCTGCGAGTTTTACTAGAAGCTTGGCTCCTAAAATCTAAAACTTTAAAAGTTTTCTTTTCTTCTTTTACGGGCAGCCACCGATGAGCTTTTACCGGTGATCATTACTTCCTTTATTTATTTATTTATTTTTATAAATAATCCTCAGATTTGTATACAGATCTAAATTATTATTGTCCAAATATTGAGATTTATTAATGTCGATGTCTTGGGATTTTATTCTCAAATTTAGTTCTGAATTATTGTTATCATCAGTATGGTAATTTTGTTTAGTGTCTTTTGTTATTTTGATAGTTATGCAAAAACAAGTGTAGATCTCATTTCAAATAGAAAGAAGAAATTTGAAAGTAGTTAAATCGGACTTATAAAAAGACCATGAAGTCGAACAATAACCATGAATAGTCATCGAGTAGAGCAAACGGCCACCTATGACATAAATACTATACTTTGTCATATCAATCATATATTTCAAATCAAGATTATGTCTTTTTATTCTTTGTAATGATTGGTTTATTATTAGACTTCCTATATAAAAATAGAAAAACATATTGTTCTGTATCATATATTTGTATACAGTTTTCTCTTAATGAAATTTCTAGTTTGAATTCCTTTCAAAAATAAAAATTTTAGTACAAGCTTTCTTTTCGGTTCGCAATATGTGCATTCTCCGGCTTGTTGAGCTATTGCATTGATTTTTCTATGATCAGGAACTTTTAGGCGATATTAATTGTTGTAGTAGCTGTTAATTGTTCAATTAGTTTTTAGTTGGTAGCTATTTATATAGATTTTTAAATTAAAAGTGTTGATAAAAATAACTGTTTAATTAAATGTTTAACTTAAAACAACAAAAAAAAAAAAGGCATTATATGTTTAGTTAACTGCATTCAGGGAAAAAAAACAATGGATATGTCAAAAAATTTAATTAATCTTTGTGAAACGCTAAATGTTAAAATGTTTAATGTTTCATAAAAAAATTTAATCAACCTCTAAAAAGTACTTACTTCGTCCTATTTTGTTTGCTTGTTATTCCTTTTTTGGATGTATCAAAATGTCTGTAAGGTTTTTAAATGTGTATATTTAAACAATTACTTTTTCCATAATGACTTTTATGATTATTCATTAAATGACTAACTTTTATCAATATCTCAATGAGTTAAGGGTGAAAAAGGGTAAAATAATTTTTATTGATTAAATTTTTAATATACGTGTTTTATCAAACCATGCAAACAAAATGAAACGGAGGGAGTATTATAAAAGCGATATTACCGAATGATATAATTAATAGAAATAGAGTTTGACTTGGTCAAATTACTAAAAACTAACTCAAAAACTGCTGTTGAACGTGCAAGCGGGGTAATTTGCATGTGGTGATTTGTTGTTTTTTTTAAAGCTTTCCTCCTCCTCTTGTACAGAAAATCTTTATTTACAAATAATGTGTAAGATAGGTATTCCATCATTTGGTGCATTAGAAAACGAATTATACAAAAATTCCTAATTACCATTTCTAGGAATTTAGAAAGTGAATTGTCAACTTCACCTACTACTAAAGGGGAATTAGAATTTATCAACAAAGGGTTGGCTAGGATGTTAAGTCATTTCAATCCCACTAAGGATCAAGAATATAAATTTAATTTCTAGAAAGCGCATTTTGATCGAGAACCAAAAACATTTACGCTTTATGGTCCGAGATTTTATATATATATACAAGAGTTAGAATTTTATATGAAAAGATGCTAGAAATTTATAATTCTTATATAATGTTGAAAGGGAAGTGTAATGAGTAAATTGTTAGTAAATTGATAGCATTTAATTTTTTGTTAGTAAATTGTTTATTCATAAGTTAAGCACATGCTTATCAAAGTTATTAGATATTTCTAAATTATCTAATAATTGAAAAGCAGCTAATGCTTTTCTCTGTATTTATAATTTAATTATAATATAATATGGTTTATTGGTTTTTGTCAGTGTGCTGTGCCCCCCATTAACTAATTAATTAAACAAACTTCAAAAAGGCTCCCTTTGCTGGATGCTAAGTTATAAACAAATTTTAAAACTTTACCTGATTTTACTACTTTTACTGGATTCCTGGGTTTGTTTTTTCATTGGAAAATCCCCCCAAATCACTTTTTCATGGAATCTTCTCAAACTTGTCATTTGTTTCAAAAAAAAAAAAAAAAAGAGTGATTTATGGTATTTGTGAGAATCTCTTCAATCAAAAATCTAAAATTCAAATACTATGCACTTCCCTCTTACTAATCAAATTTCATCATACAAGCACTCATAGCCTAGTGGTAAGTACATTACGATCTGACAATAGATTTAAGCTCTAATCCTCATTCCTCAATATTGAAAAAGAAAAAGAAAAAAACTAACCAACGCTATTCGATTACATTCGATTCAGATGTGAGTTAGTCAAAAATTTGAATTTAATTTTTCACTTTAGGTTCTGCTTTTTGTAAAGAAAAAACGACTTGATCAAAATAAACAAATTACAAATTACTGAACATAAAATTTTGGTTCAAACCAAAAATCAAATCAACTTTATTTTGATAGATTTGGTTCAGTTTAATTTCTTATAGTCGTTAATGTATATTCTTTTATGTTGTTTAGTTACATTGAAATGACAGAAAGAATAGAAAGATTTTTGAGAGAGGAGAATGTATGAGTTGTTGACTTCACCGTCACTAAGAAATTAGAAAACAACACATGATCCGACATCTGATGGTGGAGTTAAGGAAATTGTGGATGAAATGCTCGAGACTTTTGTTTTTGTCTTCCATTTTACACATTCCCCACTTTTATTTTATTTATTTATTTAATTAAGTTGTAAACTATTAACAAACCCAAAGGGGCATTAGTCCTTTTCCCTTTGTCCAAAACTTTTTTGTTATAGCTCTTCGGTTTTCAAAACAACAAGTCGTATTAAAAAACACATCTTGCTATTATTTCTTTGGATTTCTTTGTAAAGTCTTATTAGTCATATTCAAGGCATCATCATGTTTATTGTTATGAGTTATAAGCAAGTTGTTAGCCCTAACCCACATGCCTCAATTCAGAATAAAAATGATATTTTTGAACCTTTTAAAAGAAGGAGAAAAAAAAAAGAGATAAAGAGAGTACATTTTTCTTTTCTTTTCTTTTCTTTTTAACATTAGGAATTTACATTTATGCCTAAATGAAATATGTTTTAATCCCAACTTCATCGATAAAAAATACTAATTAATCATGATATACACACTATCCAAAATATAGTGTTCTAATATTAGGAAGGGATTCAATCTCGAAATAAGTTTTCTATAATCATGTTCGTTTTTAAGAGTGGAATTCAATTCCTTAAAAATTATCTTCTTTTTTGAATTATCAATAATGAATTGAAGTTTCTTTTTTTTTTTTAAAAAAAAAAAGTTATTAGGAAGAGGAAACTTGAAGTAAATTTATAGTTAAGTTAGGTATACACTTATGCTACAATAAACTTAAAGACGTTAACGTTCTTGCAATAATAAATATGTAAATCGAGAAGCGAGAAATGTCATATACTAAAAAGTAATTTTCATGGATATATCTTCAATAGGAGCCTAATGCAAATAAAGGCTGCTTAATCTCATTTTCAACCATCAGAAACAATAATGAATCGCCAATTTAAACACTATCCAAATAAGAGTGTTTGGTTTTAAGGCAAAATCTGAAAATATTAATTGTTATGATAGTTATTAGATGTTGCAGTAGTTATCAATTTTTTCACCAGCTGTTAGCTAAATATCATGAAGATAATATTTCTCAATTCAATCCCTAAAGTCTAAACATTAGTATAAATGTTAGACTACCGAATAATATAAATAACAGAATAATATTTCAACTTTGGTCAAAACACTAAATATTATCATTGAAATTATTGTGGAACTGCGCTCAAGAATCACATCACTATATGTATATATATATATATATACATATATATATATATGGATCCTTTCTCTTAGATATTGAATTCAGATTTTGCACGGATATAAAAAGTACAGGCACAGGATAGCCATAAATGTGCCAATCGAAATGACCCAACACCCACAAATTCAGGATTGCTAGGGTTTCTTTCAGTCGTTAGATAAATAGACAAGAGGAACCACTCTACTTCAAAAAAAATGGGTTCCATTTGCCGGGTATCCCACCAGCAACAAACCAAAGTAGAAAATTGCAGCAGCTAAACATTTTACAGCCAAAAACTTTGATTTTAGTGACTGCCTTTCTAAGAGATCTTTGGCTAACTATCCACTAGCTTCTGTAGTCTTGTAAGGAAAGCAGAGGAGGCCCTGCATAATGATGGTGCTGTCCAAAAGATAAGACAAATTCCAACTTCCAGATAAGGAAACCTTTGATGATACATCTAAAACTCGAATTCTATTGGATTTTCTTTCCATAAAATTGCATCAATAAAGACACCAGTATCCCCACATTCCTCGTTTTGGTTTCTACAATTCTTATTGAAATAAAGCATAAAGGGTTACCATCAATATCAAAATAGCCATCTCCACCAAACAGTCTCAGGACTATCATTGAATTCAAATACAATTCCAGCTAAAATAAATATAAAAAGAACATACTTTGCAGTAATTGGCGTTAGATCCATCATTTCGAAGATATTTCTAATTAACGGTTATAAATTCATCATATAAATTATTTTCTCAAGAATCAAGAAAGGGAAAGGAAAAGGGCATGCTGCATTGACAGAGCCAACTCATGAAGATTGCACCTAATGACAGGTCAATGCATTTATTCCATACAATTGTAGTTCCACATTTACATTCATTGAGTTTCATTTTTCGTCTTCCGGCATACAACTTTTACAATTTACAGAAGAATGAACAAATTGAAACTACACCCAATGTTACAAATAAGTTACACCGAAAAACACGTGGCATAAAATTCAGCTTTCGGGGAGGTCACGCACAACTTTTTTTTTTTTTTTTTTTTTTTTAGAAAATGACAATTGAAACTACCCAATTTGACATAATAAGTTACAGAACATACCGAAAACACGGTGGCATAAAATTCAGCTTTCGGGAGGAGGTCCAAACGCACAACTCTTTTTTTTTTTTTTTTTTTCTTTTTGGTCATATTAATATATTGACTTGCTTGTTTAGTCGATATTCATTGCAGAAGTCACAGATGAGGGAGAGCTCATCAGCTGTCACTAGTTGCTGTATCACCAGATTTCAACTCCCTTTCTAGCTCATCAAACTCCCAGTCACCAATCTCTTCTGTTGAGTAATCTCGAGCATCCTTCCCGAACTCTGACTCAAGCTTTGCTAGTTCGGCTGCAGGATCTAGCACCAGCTGTTCCTCAACTGAAGGTGCTTTGGGTTGCCCGTCTGTCTCAGATTTTGGTGTACCAGCATCTGGTGTTGTGTTTTGCACTGGACTTCCCCATAGGTTCTCAGATGCAGTCTCTGTCTTTGGTGTTGGTGGATTCTCCAATTCTAGATTTGGTCTTTCAATGGCTTCAAATTCCTTTCTCAACTTTTCAATACCTTCTAATAGTTCTTTAATCTTTGCATCATCTTTCCTGGATCAAAGGGGACACCATATTTCAGAATATATAATGGATATAATTGCATAAGATAATCATTGTGCATTTGAACTTCTATTCTAAATTTATTAAACAAATTTTGAACCTGTAAACGAGGGAGAAAAATTGAATCAAAATCTGAAAGGAAACATCTTAAATTATGCCTTTTTGCTAAATTTTCCTGCAAATGTTCCAAATTCATAATCACACAAGTTTTCTGACAATCTAATTTTGTTTATGTAACCAAACAACCAAGGAAAATCTATGCACTATAATCCTCATTTAGCCAATTTGAACTAAATACTTTCATGTCAAAAGCCTAACAGATAAGAAAAAGTGAGAAGAGGAATAAGAGCAATTTAGGACACAGCCAGAATTCCACCTGTGGATGGCCCCCGGTTGAACATAGAGTTGTTCTCTCATGTGATCCACCACACTGAAGGTAGTTATAATCTGAAACACAACAGCAAAATTTATGTGTCAATCTACGCTAAGCATGTGATACTGATAAAGGACTGGGGAGTCAATTTCAAAGAGAAAGATTAAATTTTTTAAAATGATAAAAATTTTGAAGAATCCACAGAAAAAAAAAAATGTCTCAAACATTCACAAAGAATTGGATTGCACTGAAGTTATGCAAAGCTCTTTAAAATAGTTAAAAAAAAAAAAAAAAAACAAGAGTGAGACAGCTTCACATACTACATATTGATAATTCAAAATAAACAGTATGCCAATAACCATAACTCTATTGATTAGTAGATGATATTATGTGTAAGTCAATGCCATTTGGTTAAACCTCTCACATCTACAACGCTTTATCCAAAGGTCAGCAAACTTGCAGTACAGATGTGAGAGCAACCCCAGCTTAGAGGGAATCATTCAGCAGCAAGAGATCTCTTGAGGAAGTAGCATTTTCCCTAGGGTAAAGCAATAATAAAACATCTAACATGTCATTTGCACACTTCAACTGAGAAAAAGTTAACCACCGCCATCATGTACCTTGGCTTCATATTCCAAATATTCCTCCTCGAGATGTTTCCTTGGGTGAATTACTTTAGAATCATCATGATCCAAACTACCTGCCATATCTGACCTGTATATCAAGTAAAAAAAAAAATTAGAAAAATAGATCGGAGTATTCCAGGACATCATCAAAGCGGAAAATATATCACCTTTCACTTAAATGCTTTAGATTATCCACAAATTTCTCAATGCGGCTGATAGCAGGCGCCAACTCTTTCTGCATAAGGAATAAAGAGACTATCAAAATGGGAATGTACATGCGCACATGAGAGAGAACGAGAGAGAAAGGGAGAAAGAAAAATATGTGCTATTTGCAGATAAATATTCTTTGAAAGAAATGAGCATACCTTGTAACTAGAAAGAAGGTGGATTGCCAAGTTCACGAAATACTCCTCATGCTTCTCCAGTTCATCACTTGAAAATGTAAACAAGTACCAACAAAAAAATTCAAGGTATTTTCAGTCTGATGTACAAGATGTAACAGAGAATAAGGAATATTTTCTTTCATATTAGAAAGTAAACAAACACATACGATAACACATTGCTAATCCCAAAACAGAAAGAACACTTAAGATCACGCAAAATCACAAAATTGAAGTACGTACTTGACCTGCTTCTGCTTCATTTCTGCATATGAGCACTGGAGAACCCAAGTGTCTTCCAGAAAATTAATCCAGGTACTCAGGACATTTGCTTCTACCTTGCATGCAGCAACAGATTTTGACAGCTCATCTTCCTATAACGAAAATGAAAAGATATATCAAAGAATAATGGGGATGACCAAAACTTTACATAATCGTTTATAAACGTGACAGAACATAGAAAGCAGATGAGAAAGATAATCACCTTTGTTTTCAAGTGCTCAATGATTTGATTGTTAGCTTCATCAAACTGATCTCTTTCTTCCTTAGCATTGCGAAGGCGTGCATTCGCAGCAGCCAAGGAGATATTAACCTAAACCACATTGACAAGCCTTTAACTGTTTGCAAAGATAGGATAAGTGGATAGTAACTAGAAAAGAAGGTATATGGACTTAAAAGAAGATGCTGGTCAGTCATGGTAAATATAGTTTTACTAATTACAGGACATTCCCAGTTCAAAAGCAAAACTATGAGGAACAAATATGGAAAAACTATCATGTTACATTTGGAGGGAAGGATTTTGATTGAGGGGATTCAGATGCAATTTTTTTGGCTTAAAATATGGGTCCATGAATGCATATACGAATTTAACTAAGACATATTTGAAATTGAACCTTTTAATAGTTATTTCAAATCTACTCTAAAATTGGTTTCATATCCATATGGGTGAGTCTAACCTATATACATGAACCTAATCAACTAAAGAAAACCTAAGCTTTATCAGATCCAGATCTCTCTGCTTATCTAATCATTGTGAAATTTGAAAAATTATCATATGATGGAGAAAATTGTCATATCCTATACCACCACCAATCATGGCATTGCCATAGTGGATAAGGAAGCACATGAGTTCCCTTATTTTGAGAAATGGATGATGCAGTGATGCAGGATGACTCTGGTTTACAAACAATATTCCTGTGTAGACATGTTCTCACACATACTCTAGTCAAATTCATCACTGCAGTACAAATAGTGTACATTGCCTTCATGGAATAGCGAGTTATCTAAGCCGCCTTACATTCTAAATTTACCTATTTCATAATGTCAATGCCAACGATGTTATTTCTTAATGTTGATACAAATAAATGTTAAATGTGCTGGTTTTTCCAGCAAAAATGTCATATCCAAAACTATTCAATGCTCCTGTGAAAGTTGTCAAATAGCAGAATGATTAGCAACACACTAAACTTAGGATATTGAAAAGAGTAAGAAAAATGGAATAATAATTGCCTCAACAACCACTCATTAAAAGCAGAGGCAGATGGAAGAAATGACACAATGCAAGAAAGGGGGGAAGTGAAAAACCTTCTTCAATTGAGCTTCAAGTTCATCTCTTTGGTTTTCAAGTACAGCAATTTCAGCCGATATTTCCTGGAAAGATAACAGAGAAAGAAACTTTAAATTTCCCTCTGACCTGAATAAACATATGCAATATGCATGACTTTCCTGGTTTCTAGTAGGCATATGCCACAAAACTTGAAAAGGTTTTAAGCCATAAAGAAAACATATGCCCAATAAAACGAATTTAATCAAGAAAAACATTCAGACAACAACTGATAAATTAAATTCATAAATTATGATTGAAGCATGAAAGTTGAAACTAGTGAACAAGATATATTGATAGCTCACCAAATACAAAGAAATGTTAGTACATCATAAATCAAACTGAATGACTAATTAGGTGAATACTTCCTCTGAACAGATCAAGAATGATGTTAACACCCAAACTCATGATACAACTAGCCATCACCATTCCATTAGGCAAAGATCCATGTGCATAGCAAAAATATGTAGTCTATAATATATATAAAAGTGGAAATGGAAAGGAAAACAATTGGATGGACAAAAATACCTTTAGTAAATAATTATTATGTCAATGAAGAACAAATTGACAAATGGTAACTCAATTAGGAATCTTAATAATTAATAAAGGACAATTATTATAGGTACAAATCTTATTGGAACTGTCCATATCCAGTTCATCTTTCAGAACATAACATCCTATTGACTCCCTCCTACCTATTGTTGCTCATATCACTACACACCTCTAAGGTATTCTCCTTTTCATAATTGAAACTCTTTTTTCTTTTGAAATAACTTTTTTGTTATTTAGTTACGGTTTGTGATATTCCTTTTGGCCAATTTTATATTATAATTTGACTTCAACTCATTATGTGTTTTGTTATCCTTCAAGATTTACAATTCAATAATGTTTTTTTTCCCCTCTAATTGTTCAATTTATTGTGCACCCTCTATTAATAAATTCTATTCTTTACTTGTCAGTTGAGTTTGAATTTATATTATGTTTCTTATTAATGATATTATGTACATTATGTATGTGTGATTCAATTTTTATGAAGTGCTTATTTTATAATATTGACTTTATTAGTTCATTAGTTCAATTAATTAATAAAAAAAAAGATTTAGGGCATAACATCAATTTTAATTTATTTTTCATGATATTCCCTGCCAATATATCATTTTTTCCATTTCTATCTATCTATTTAAAATCTATAATATTAATATATATAAAAAAAAAAAAAAAAAAAAAAATATAAAAAAACAATTGAGATGGAATAAATTGGATGTTTTGCAAAAAACACTCTCGAGCAATTATTATTTTAAAGGTAAATCGTTAAAAAGATTAATAAAAAATTCACCCCTATTGACGTATGATGAAAAAAAAAAAAAAAAAACAAATGAGATGAATAATTGGATGTGCAAAAACACTCTCAGCAATTTATTATTTTAAAGGTTAAATGTTAAAAAGATAATAAAAATCACCCTATTGTGAAATATTTAAAATCTATAATAAAATTCATATTTGAGTTCAAATTGGTAAATATGTTTGACTACTAACACATTTGATTTCTCTAGAAAAAAGAGTTCACTAAAAAAGTCTTATTTATTTTGACTATCAAGGACCAGTATCATTTCACGTCCAAGACTCCTTGCCTTATCATTTTCCATTTTGATCGTGGAGGTATTTTGCTAAAGATATTTCACTCACACACTACTTTTCAAATCTTTGTTTTGTTTTTGCACTTTGTTTCAATCATGCTCTCTACTTTTACTATATATGATTTTATTTGATAGACTTAATGGTTTTAAAACTTAAAAAAAAAAAATTATATCAATATATAGATTGATTTAACCAAATAATGGTTAAAAATAGTTAATGATGACTATGCACTTACAATTTAGTTCTCAAATTACAGTTTGAAAACTTAATATAAAATAATGGAGTTCAAAAATGCAATTAAAAATTAAATGTAAACCATTGTACCCTTTTCTTCGAAGATGTATATCTTTTTTATGTCCTTGTTATATCATGTATTACTAGACTATTATTTTATTTATATATTTATTAATTAGTATCAATTTTTCTTATTAATTGTTTGTTTTTTTCTCTTATTTAATCCTGGTTTTACATCAAAGTCATTGGTTTGAACACACTTTCTAATTTCTCATCAAAATTATTGGTTTGTATGCAAGTTCTAATTTCTCATAAAGTTATAGTTTAGCTATTTGTTATAGATTATTTTAGTATTTTAGTATTAAAGTTAAAAACAATTATGAAAAATATATACAGTTATAAGGAATTCTATTTAGGATTTAAAGCTAAATGACAATGACACTTTGTTTGAGGAATGTTATTGCAACAATGAATCAACTGCGAAAAGTATCCGATATCATAAAACATATAATTTTTGTATAATTATCATAAAAAGTTATCTTATTACACAAGCAGTTTCTAAGCACTCTTTTCTAGTTCTATTAATAAAGGAAATTAAATTCATATAAATACAAACCAAGAATATTGGTTCTTTTTTTACTGGCAGTTAATTATTTTTGTGGTTTCACTTTGCAAGAGTTGTGAGCTTTGCAATGAGATATGACTAATCAAAGGCAAGTACTATTGGCAATTTCTTTAAAATGTGCATGTTCAAGATATAGCAGACTCTAATCAACCCATTCAATGAGAGATAAAAGCAGGCTATCTTCTAAAGATGGTTTTTATGACCTTATGCTGAACATTGCAACAAATCAATAATTAATGAGAAACGCGAGCTTTTCTTTGGAAACAAATTACCTTCTCTCTTTCATTAGCTTCATCAGCTTTGGTAACACGAACTTTCAGAGCCTCTTCTTTTTGAATTCTGCCAATTAATTAAAGGAAATCCAGCATCAGTTCTAAACATAATGACAGATTTTAATAATGTTTATTTTGTAATGCTGGCTCCAGAGATGGTGTAAAGTTATTTATGTTTGCTTCTTGGTCTCAACAAGGAGTTAGGAGTGTTCCCATTCTGACATTATGGTCTGGCATTCTCCGATATTTACTTCCAGAGGACTTCCCAAATCCCAGCTCAGAAAAGAAATATTTGTTAAGTCCACCTAGATGACAGGCTTGCTCATGTTAATACAGATGTATTACCATGTTAAGTGAAATCTTTTGAAACACTTAAAAGAGTTGCAATTCAAGCATAGGAAACCTTACAAGAATATTAAGCACCAAAAAGAACCTATTGATGGCAATGCCCAAAAAGTTCAAAAACCAAGAAACTATAGCAGGAACAAGATTTGGGTCAAAGTGAAAGATGCTAAAGGTGTGGTCATCAATTTTTCAGGTATAAACAAAGAATTTTTACCTTTGATCTAAAATGCGCTTTTCAGCTTTTGCTGCGGAGCTAGCAAGGGACTCTGACAAGATCTTCAATTTGTCAACCTGCTCATATAAGCAAAACAATAATAATGAAGTTTTTCATGTAGCTTAGAATTGCCTATTTAATATGAACAATAATAGAAAGCAATTGTCTGAATTCAATCAAAACCAAAGATAATAGAGGCATAAAACTCAAAAACTATTGAGCAATGAATCATCTCCAGCGACTTAATTACTTAAGAGGGGGGAGAGAGGGAGAGAGAGGGAGAGGATGGGAACAAAATCAATGCCAAGATGCATTCTTTGTCATGAAACGCAAGTTGGGCTGGGGCTATGTTCAAAACAGCTACTACCAAGTATGATTCTGTGACAGGGACCACTTCACAACAGGCCAAAAATTGTATATGGAGACAAGTAAACCAACTGAAATATGGACAAAAAAAAGCATGTTTTATGCATCTGCAATTTGATGCAACACCAGATGACATGCATACAGAAACGTAAATTTACATAGTTCTTATTAGAGAAGTCTACCATGACTTCTTAAGAGACAAATAACTAGCACTTCTCACACAACAACCATCTATCATCACCTCTGAACACTAAAAACTGTAAGAATAGACCACTAAGACCTGTACAAAAGCAAAGATATGATGCTTCATCATTCAAGTTCTTAATTACTACTATATAAAAATAAAAGTTTTACTTTTTCCTTTTCTTGTTTGATTCATCATAGAGCCAAGACTTCAGAGATGTAATCTAAAAAAACAGCCCCATAGCAATAGCATAACATACCTTTAGAGCATGAATCTCCGGAGAGTCTCCAAAGTTCAAATCTTTTTTTTTCCGTAAAAGCCCTTCCAATCTAGAACAGATACGAATTTGTGAAAGTGCTTCTTTCAGGACCTGCAAACATTGTCAGATCATTTTTGGTCATTGCACTCAACAATGGTCAAGAAGTTGCTACGTGCTTTTAGACCTTGTTTATTTTTCTTTCACAATACACAATATTAAATTTAAATAAAAATATTGTAACAGTCCTTAATAATAACCCACCATGGAGATGTACCAATTCGTTTCCTTATCATTCTTATTGCAATCTCAATATAACAGCCATTAATAAATAATATTATATTACAGATGTATGACCAAAGCTCACATATAAAAATGATAAAATGCTTAATCTCAAAATTTTCAATCTCTTTTCATATTTCAGAGAAAAATCTAAAATTTCTGTATCTAACAATGCATGTAAGCACTGCAAGTACCTAATGAAATATCGGATAAACATGCAGACCACTAGTTAAAGAGCAATGTATAAATTCAGATAAAAACATGAGGGAAGATAATCACAATGCTCAAGCTCACCTCTATATTTGCCTGAAACGTTCCATCAGATGCTCTGTCCTGATCTTCATTTGATGGCTTCTCCAGTCCAATCATTCCATCAAGTTTGTTCTTCAGATCAATCGCTTCAGCATCTATTCTGTGATCAGGAAACACACAAGAAGAGAGAATTAAAAAGCACCCATTTCCTGCATTCACTGTTTTTCTTTAATTCTTCATTGATAACTCTATATGTAAAGCACCAATACATCCAATCACTGAAACAGCACAACAATCCAAAGCCAAGAGAAGATTTTGGATTTCCAATCTATTCTCATCAAAGCTCAAATCCAATTTGACAAAGATCAAAGACTCATGAGATTTTTCTATTTTAAGTTTATATTTTGGGGGTCCATGGATTGGCAAGATAGGTCAGATCAAAGTAGAAGAATAAAATTTATGCACACCTCACATACACAAAAGTTAATTTTGCACGAAAATTTTGTCTTTGTTGCAAGTTCTAGCTCATCAACTGAAACTGAAAATCACTTGAGGAATAATTGATGGCAGGGAGGACTAGCAAACGTGCTTTAATCACCTAAAATGTGTTAAAATGGGAAACGGAAAAGAAAGAACAGAATTTTACATCTTATTCAATATTTTGAAAGTAGAAAGCAACTGGCACCTTGTATCTTTGTCTAAAGAATAATCATCTTCAACACACTTGCTAAGAAATGAATGCAAAATATAAATAAATAAATAAACCAAGATTAAAAGGCTTGAACTTAATTAAAGATGAGAACTTTATTTTTCTAAATGTATGTACGTCATACATATAAAAAACTCAATCTAAACTTCAAAAAGATGTGCATAAAGCCATTTCTAAGTAAAAGAGTTTTCAGAAAAAAGAAAAAAAAAAAGAAAAAGGGAAGTTCTAGCTTTTTTTTTTCTTTAACTACCTTCCAAGATCAGCACTAATTTTCAGCCCTGAAACAGCACCTTGTGCAAATTGAAGCAATTCCTCCCGTTTCACCTATGAAGTCATCCAGAAGGAGAAAGGGAGAAAAAAAAAAATCAAAATAATATTCTTTAGTTTCAGGCTGCAATAAGAAGCAATGTACAATCAATTCATCTCGGTTTACCTAAACAATATCCAATCAGACACCTTCCCACATATTAATCTCATTTCCTAAATAACTCTCTTGGAATGCCAGTTATTATTACTTTCGCCATTTCAAAGTCCATCCCCTTTTAAATTTTGCACTTTTTTTCTTAAGTTTGTTTCACATCAAGGGAAAAGAAAAGAACAGAAAACAATAGAAATAGCACATTATAGGTCGTAACATTTTTATTTTCAACATTCATCGTTCAACATTTGCATAACCAATTGGTCAAGACTCAAGACTAAACTTTAATCCATATAAGCGATTGAGCATCAACAAGGTCTAATACTGTAAGCAATTAAACGTCCAATTGTGCATAATATGAGTGAAGTCAGTATCCTTAATTCTTTACCAGCACTTCATCTTGGTAGCTAGCAAAAGCTGTAGCCAGATCCTGTATACTGCTCAGTATTGCATTATGAACTTCTTTTCCTCCAGTCAGACAGATCCTGAGAGTAGCCAAAATTTTAAAGACAATTCAGTCTCTTTTGGAATAGTCAATATTTGCGGCATAGTTTCCATATAACCTCCAAGAAGAAGCAATGACTATGAAATAAAATGAATGTATTTCTTACAAAAGTTAAAAATAATGAATCCAGGGTTGAATCCAGGGTTCCGTGAGTTAAAGCATGAGTATTGCTTTGTATAACCCACAGAAATTTCAATTAAAAGAAAAAGGAAACTTGAATTGACACCAGCGAGATCCTAAATATATGCTAAAACTTTAGACCCTGATTTTAGGCTTAATCATTGTTATAATAGGCAGGAGACTCACCCAAACATTTCCAGGAGCAAAGAAATTTCTTCATCATTTGGTGCTTCAAGAATCTGAATCATACGAAAAAGTTAACCTACTGTTAACCTCTATAATCAGCTATTACAAAATCATAATCAGCACATATGAAATTGTCAAACCAATATTGCCTATAATCGTGCCTGAAGTTGTAGAAAAAGAAATTACATTGACGACGAATATGTAAATGCTTTTACCACTGCCTTCCTTCAATTAAGCATCTAAGATATGCACCCCAAAAAATATTTATTATGGCTCCATTTATCTCATATAAAATATTTTGTCATTTGATTGTAATGTAGAAAATCAACTAGAGACTATTTTCTGGTGGTCAGACAGAGAATGTTTAAATTTATAAGTTTTTCTCTAAACTTGTTTATAAGTGTTTGCATAGAAGAGAAAATTCCAAAAGAAAAGGGGACACAGAGTAAATTGCGCTGGTTTTTTGCAATCAGTGGCATCTAATGATGATGTCATTAATGGCTCCAAGTGTGGTTTACCAACTAGCAAATATGCGTACTCCATTTTGTAAGTTTGCATATGACAGAAAAATGATATCCCATTTTGAAAATAGAAAATTCTTTTCCCTAAAAATGACTTAATTTTCCCCTTTATCATGAAAACATTACTGTTAACCAATTTTTCTAGGCACCCTAAATACGGGAAACTGCAAAAAGACTAGGCAAGAGATTATTAATAAACAGTGTACGAACACACTTGAAAAGAATGTGCATTGCTATTTACTATGGTATAAACGTCTATCATGAAATCAAATCTTGTTCAATTGGATAATGGCAATAAATGTTCATCTCCTACTGATTCTCAATATTGATTCATTGACTTAATGTCTAAGCATGTTTAAACAGATGGGTTAGATAACCGTACCATGGACAACGTTATGCCTTCCAAAGCCTGACTTCGGAGAAAAACATCACGAAAATTCATTGGCTCATCCCCACCATCGGAATCATAATATAGAACCTATTTCACCATAGCAAACAGTTAAAAAGCTGGAATTTTCAATAAATGTGTTATTTCCAGTTATGAATCATTTCGAAGAGGTAACTTAAATTTCCAACTTACCACTGCAAACAGCACACCTGCACTTAAAATTTCATAAATATGCAACAATGTACAGAAGATTACCTCAAAAAAAAAAAAAAAAATGATAATTTACAATAAAAGTAGTGCGTATAAAAAGTACTCACTTACCATTGACTGTTTTCTTGGATTTTCCTTGCCTTCATCAGGAAAAAGGTGTTGCTCAAGAGTCCTTTGTTTATCTTCAGATAACTTCCCAACTTCTTTAAGCAGAAACAACCATCTTCTCAGCAACAAAACCCTCTCAGGACCTCTACAAGACACAGCAGCCTCCTCCAGTCTCTTTACAGTTTGTTTAATGCTTCTGAAAGTTCGATTACCCTGCATAAACATGCAACTCATTAAATTCATTGCTTAGAAAATTAGACAGTGATAAAATGCTAAATAAAACAAACACAGCCACAATCAAAATGAAAACTAATCAGCTGCTACAAGCTCACAACAACGGCTTAGTTTACATACACAAAGCCACACACACAAGAAAAAAGTCATTAACAGCTACTACTTCAGTTACTTCGACTCCACATTTGAACAAATATAATTAAAACAAAGAAAAAACAAAAATTAAAACCTCTAATTTAACCAAAGGATAATTTCTACAAATTAAGCCATAGAAAGCAAGAATCGTAACTAATTAAACTCTTAACATCACAAAAATTGTAAAAATAAGTATAAATTACAGTAGCAGAGAGATAGAGAGACAAATTGGCGAAATAAAATTACAAATGAATAAGGAAATCATTACAATGCGATCTTGCAAGATTTTGGCTCCTTCAGCGACCGCTTGGCCCGCATGTTGAACGACAGAGTCAGCATAGTTCTTGACGGCGCGTGTTAGGTTGTTCTTGTTCCCCACCTCCACTGCCTTGTTCACGGCGGATCTCAGCCACGACATCTTTCGGTTTTCGAAATTTTGTTTAAACAATTTTCCACTTAGAACACGAAAATGTTTCTAAAAATGGTTTGGTACTTTCTTTGTCAGTTAGCTTTCAGAGAGAAAGAAGAGAATACTCGTGGAATTTGGATTTGGGGTTTTTTGGAGGTTGATGAACAGAAAAATCAGAAATGTTAGAGTGATTATCAGATAGAGACGGTGTACCTTCGTGCTGTGGACCAACCAATTATTACACAATATCATGATTTTATTGGCTATTGCCATACCAATTGTAGCAGTTCAATAATTCATTTCAACTTAATTTAGCAACTAAACTTGAGTTTGTTTCACAAAATTTATTAAATTTATCAATTTTGGAATTGGTTAGAATCCTTTTAAAAAATAACATCAATGTATAAATTAAATTAAATAAAAATAATAAAAATAATGTTCAATTTTTGTTTTTTTTATGCGAAAGGGGGAACACTCATATAAGCAATCAAGAAGATCTATCCTACACCAAGACACAACTTGCACATCGAAACGCAATAGATCTAGCACCTCAGTAGGGGCATGCAAAACCAACTTGTGAATAGTAGCTTCAACAGCTAAAGTGGCCAGAGTGTCAGCCGCCTTATTGCCTTCGCGGTACACATGGTGGTGGAACTGGACCCTCTACTCCCGATCTAAAAGGGACCAACATTGCTGGAGGACATTTCTAAACCGAAAATTAACACTTCGACGAGTAGTAACCAACTGTAAACTCATGAGGGAATCCATTTCAACTATAACCTGCCTATACCTTGCCTCCTAGGCACATTACAATCTAGCCAAAAGAGCATTCAACTCGGCCACTATAGAAGAACAACAACCCAAACGAACCAAAAAAACCAACACGCCACTTGCCATAGCAATCTTGGATTAAACCACCACCACCCCAAGAGACTTTTTTATTCTATTGTTAACGCATATTTATTTACTACAAGAGATTATAATGAAAGTTATTATCGAAATATGTAAATTAATTATAAAATGTATAATAGAAGCTATATGATGATTTTTATAAATTAATTTGGTTTTTCCTTAAAGAAGAAAATGAAAGCAACTAATGTATAATAAAGATTGTATGAATCAGTACGTTGACATAGAACCAAAAAAATATTTACTGTATATATAAAGTGTAATATAATTTAACTACTCAATTTAAATAAGAATTTATACTTTATACTAATTTATAACCCAAAAGGATATTAACACTTTTCTACAATATTAATTAAAGCCATTAGAAATTAGATAGAAGTCGCTAATAAATTTTAGTAACTAATTTAAATTACTATTAAGTTCTTAAAACATACAAAATTGTAAAAATACAAGTATAAATTACGTAATGTTAACTATTGAATGTTTACTCATAAGAAGCAATTAGTTCAGTTTTTAAGAAAAGATAGAAAGAGACAAACCGTATGGCGAAATTAAAATTTACTAATCACTATGTAATATAAGGATAAATGTCATGAATAACAATGCAAAGGAATTCTTTTGACAAGATTTTGGCTCCTTTTCGACGCGGACCTCGGCAATTGCGCCCGTCGCATGTTGTTATTGTAACGACTCAGCCAAATTAATTTTTCTTAGACACATAGTTTCTTTTGCCGAACTCTTTGTCGGCGGTGTAACTTAGGTTGTTCTGTTCCCTCACCCCCAGCTGCCATTGTTCAACTGGCGGTATTCCTCGGAGCTCCACGACATTCTTTCTCGGTTTTTTATTTCTCGAAAATTATTGTGCTTTTTAAACAAAATATTCCTCTGCGACTTAGGAACACCTAAAAAAAAAATTTGTGGATAATTCCTCAATTAAAGTGTAATTGGTTTTGAGAATACTTTCGTGTTAATTCGTCAAGTTTTAGGCTCTTCAGAGATAAAGTACCCCGAGATATTAACTCGATTGGAATTTTTGGTTTTAGTTTTAGCGGGTATTTTAATGGTTTTGTTCCAAGTACGGTTGTATTCATTTGAATATAATTTTATTTATTGGATTACTATGAAGAAAAAGTAATCAGTTATATAAGATTCCATTTAAGTCCCTGATCAAGATTTAGATTAAAATATAATATTTATTATTTAGATGATACGTGATGGAGAGAGCATTGATTGGAAATACCAAGATGGTACTTGCCTAATGAACTAGTGGACACACAAAACAATATAAATATTTACTCGACAAATTATCAATATGATTAGTTATGCTATTGCCGATACCGAATTGTGTAGTGGCTAGGTGAGTGATATATTCAATCATTTTTTGTCCCAAACTTTAATTTTTAGACAATGACTTCACCACCTTTGAGTTCAGGATTATATAACAACTAGAGGTGTTATAAATAAAAATTCAATAGTTTTTCGAAGAGAAAATGTGTTTGAGAGTAACCTCTGTAGAAAATGAAATAATCATAACCATGATGGTCCCTATAACTATATCCTCAAATAAAATAAAATAAATATATATTAAGAAAAAATTCTGTTCTTATATATTGGTGTATATATCTTCTATACTATAATAAGCATCAAGTAGAGATTCGTATTCATACAGCTCTAAGTGGAACAACATTGCACTATCGATATTTCCGCAATACTTAGTCTGACTCAGTAGGGCTATGCAAACCAACTATAGTGTTTTATTTTGATTTTATTTGAAACCATAGTTAGATTACAAACTACAGTGAGAGTGGCCAGAGTGTCAGGCCGTCACTTTATTGGCCTTTCCGTGATTTTTATTATTTTTTTTTATTATACCTATTTTGAGATTGGTTGGAAAATCGGACCACTCTGTTCCATCTGCCGACGAAAGATGGGGTTTTTGAACCAACAAAATTGCTCTCGAGAGGACATTTTTCTTTAAATTCCGAAATATTACTTTAAACACTTTCGACGGAATTTTGTTTTTGTAACTTACTCTTTTTTAATAAATACTTCATGATGGGGATATTCCATTTATCAATTACTATTAAACTTTACTGTTTTATAATATGACCTGCCGTAGCCAAATGAACTACATTAACCAATTGAGTCCAAAAAGGAGACATTCAACTCAAGGGTCAACTAATTAGCAATGAACTCCAGCATACAACCCAAGGAGCGACCAAAATAATCCAATACGCAACCAATACACCGCCACTTTTTGCCAATAGCAAATCTAATTTGATTAAAACTCAGCCTCTCACTACCCCACCCATAGGAATCCTTTTTTGTTTTTAAATATTTCTAATGAATATAACGTTCAGTATTAATATTTACATATAATAAGAGTTAGATTCATAATATGAAAAGTTTTAATTTATCGAAATAAATATGTGAAATAATTATTTCAATATCTTTTTGTGATTATATAATAGCAAGATCTAATATTTGAGTGTATTTTATATAAAATATGTAAATTTTGTTCTTTACTTCTCTATAAAGTAAAGGAAAACAATATATGAAAGAATAAACTTAATGAATTCTCCATAATAAAACATTATAGATATGTGAACATACGCAGTACTGTGAAAACATTAAGAACCATAAAAGAATTTAAATTTTAACGTGTAGAGTTAGCATCATTAATATAAGTGTTGAAAATAATATTAAATAATCTTCAATTTGAAATTAAGAGAGTGTATAGTGGAAACTATAATAAAAACTATATTATTTATTTTAGATAAAAAATTGTATAAACATATTATTTTAAGTAAAAGAAGTAGTGTAGTAACTAGGACAAGCATAACCATAATGAGTTTGATCAAGCGTAATTGCATACTGCAATATAAACAAATGTCTCATCACAGAAAAAGAACATAGGAGTATAATATTACTATATAAAACCGATACTAATAATAAATATCAAATAAAGTTAATTATATTATCCGGAATTATAGGTTGAACAAGAGATTTATGTCGATTCATTATTTATCAATTTAAAGTGTTTGTAAGTGTTGTCTCTTTATAATGCACATCATTATGAAATTGATGTTTCTATTCTTGTATTATGTGATTTAAGATGATCTATTAAGTGTGTTAAGACCTATCTTCGATGTAATTCTTAATAGAATTTTTCAAATGGTAGGTGAGCTTAATCAATGGAATATATTTAAATATAATTATTGGATATATATTCCCATATTCAAAGTTTCTTATTTCTTCTCTTTTTAATATTTGATGTTAAAAAGTATTAGATTATATAAGTGTAAAATAACGTATGAACCTCTAGTTTATATTATGTTATCTTGTGTGAAATAAAAGTAAATTAGATATTCATATAAATAAATTTTATGTTTAACATCTAGTTAAAATATCATAGCACAAAGTATAAGATAAATAATATATAATTTAATAATTGTATTATACCTATATAAAAAATAATATGAATTATTTTAACATAACTCAATTTTGTGTGACTATAACTTTACCGAGTCGATTTCTTATAGTATAGGATCTGTTCAGCTCTTTGCATTAGAATTACTCGAGAAGTTTCGAGTTGAGATTTTTCCGATATTGATCGCCATATACCCTTGTTTACTTCACTTTCTTAGGTTGTGTGGAGTTTAGTTTAATGGGTTGTGACATCCTACTGAGTCGAGTCTTTGCATAGAGTCGAGTCGAGTCGAGTTGAGTTGAGTTGAACCAAACCCGGTTGGGGTAGAAAGGGGTTAGAAGTGGACTTATTTGATTGAGAGAAAAAGATTAAAGTATAAGGGAGAGGATGGTTTTGCATTCAAAGATTAAGCTTGGGTATTAAGTTGTAGCCTTTTCACAATTGAGGTCTCATTTAATAAGTTTCCATCATTTATCTTGATTTTGTGATGACTTACCCGTAATCATTCCAGTCACTTTCCCATCGTTCATCTTTATCTTCATCTACTTCATCTCCTTCATTTCCTTTATTTTTCCATTCAATTAGGCGACCTCAAATTATCTCCAAGTAAGTAGAATTACTTGCAGCTTATTGTTATTCAGTTTCTACTTGAGTGATATTGTAGATAAGTTGTAAGAATTTTGATGTGTATAGGAGAAGGGAGTTCAAAGAGTGTAGAGAAGAGAAGCTAGAACAAAGCTCAGATTAAGGTAGATTCAATGATAAATCATGAGTCTCAATGCTTTGTGAGTAAAAGGTGTGTTTAATAAATTCATCTTGCTCCTTATTATTGCTCCTTTTCTATGAGATAATTTTGGGTAAGCTTCTATTCTTGGTGTGGTGTTTCTTTGTAAGGATATTCTAT